AATCACACGTTTCCGTACTATTTGTGTTAGTCGATTATTCGCCATTGTGATGCTTGCTTTTAAACAAATTTAAAACCAAACTTCTTTACAATTCTGGTACTATTGTGAGATTCTTACCAACTCATTAACTCTCATTTTGCATCTCATAGGTAATCTAGTGCGAGAATTATTCTACTTCTTTTAATAACTTTTATTCAGTTCTCCATACAAATACATTTCCTTAGCGATCTTGATTGCCCTCCAGCTGAATCGTCTTCAATATATGCTGTCTTGTCATTATTGCGATTGTCAAACTTAATTATACAGATTGCTGATTTATGTAGAAAGACATTGCGCAAAACGATGAAGTCTTCACTATGTAAAGTCTGAATGTATTGTATTGTATATACTAGTATATTGCAATTACAAATAAATGCGGGTTTTATTTAGATTATTGCATTTTTTTTAAATCCATCTGAATTTATTTTTTAATAGTTGTGTGATGTAAGCAAGATGTAAATGTATACTAAATATCAGACCAGACAACCCCATTTGGTTTATTATTCAACCGGTAATAACTGGCCGATAAATAAAGTACGTTCAACGCACATATATCGCTTAAGCCATCATAACCTTTTAATATACTTTGAAGTCAATTACAGGTTCTGGTTCAAGATACTCTTAAAACCACAACATCAAAGTGCAAAAGAATCATCTGTCTTTTCACTCTTACAAATTATGCAGTATAGCATTTAGAAAGCAGAGATGAAAACATTTTAATTCAAATAATTATAATGATTGTTTTGGCCTTTCTGCATTCTTAAAAGACAATGAAAGTGGTTTGGGTAGCTGTATTTATTGAGATAATTATACATGAAGTATATCGACGTTAGATGTCTTATTTTTCCTAATTATCCAGTATCTTAAGCACAGGTTATAACCAACTTTGTACTTTATTTCCCATGCATCATCTCTATTTTAGAGGCATTTTAACTGACAGATAACATCTATGAATTGAGGGAACATGATAGGTTATTACCAAATTTTAAGTTAATAACGTTACATCAAAATTAAAAAACTCATGACAGTAAAGGTCAGTCCTGTTAATTGATCTGCAAGATCATATTTTGATTTCAAAGGTGCTTGCTTATGTTGTTGGATCAATACTCTGATTGTTTGATACTCTGATCCGTCAAAGATTTATTCTAAGTTTCCGTCTTAGAGCCAAACGCTATATCTGGAAATACAGTTTTAAATTTTTAATCCACTCTTCGTGAACTGATCTGGAACAAGATACCAATATCATTTCTTGTCATCTTTCTTCATCAGAAAATCGATGGCAGTAGTCATGATTGCAATTCATCATTTTTCTCGTGAAATATATATGGCGTGCTTGTCATGGCAGTTTTAAACCAATCCTTTCTTAATGTGTTTTGCTATAATTGACTGTTTCTGCGTTAGCATTATTCCTTAATTCTTTTTGTTGAAAAAGAAATATAACATTTCTTGAAGAGAAAGGTGTTATAAAACAATCAAGCTTAGATTCTATAATAGCATTGTAAATCTAGTTGATTGGGGGTAATAAAATAACGCAAACAAAGTACTCAGGAAGAGTTTATTGTAATTAGTCAACAAGGAAGTAAGGAATTAAACGAATTCCATGAATTCTAACCAAAGTTCAGTCATTATGATACAAAATTGCATTTATAACAATCAATCATTATTTCTTCTTAGATACGATTAGAATAAGTTTTTTTTAAATGCAAAAAGAAACCAGTTTGCAAGTGTTTTAATTTGAAACACAATTTGCATCAATAATTAAATGTCTCTAATTTTTACTGATTTTCACTTTTTCAAATAAACACTACACACAAAAATTGGGAAAATCGTTTTCAAGCGTATGTAAGTTCACACTCAGTAAAGTCACAAAATTTGATCTGGTACTTTTATACCAAACCTTCATTGTCCAAATATCGAAATGAGAAAACATAAAACTTCATAGCACAGAATGTCTTAAATGATTTAAACTTCAATAGAATTAAATACTTTGCACATAAAGTTCGTTTGCCTAAATTACTTACGTCTGTTCAAATGTAGTTTACCTTTACCAACGTTGTCTGTTGCGTTTGACTTACAAACTTCCGCGGAATCAAACAAGGTGGAAACAGTTGCAGACCACGGGGTTGAATAACGCCCATACATACTAGAGATAACCAACAACTGTTGCTATCGCAAGAGAAATTAAACAGAATAAATAATGTATTTGGAAGAAGTTCTCAACTATTTAAAATTGAAATATCAGTAATGCTTATTCATAAGCTTTTAAAAGCTCATCAAACATTAATATAAATTTTACGACAGAGTGATTTTTTCAGTAACTGAGCTTTCATAGGACATGCTCATTTATTAAACATAATATGAAATCATTAAAATTCATTTTCAAATAAATGCTTTTGACAGGATAGAATCATCTCAAAATAAGATACCTGATTAAATTGCAACCAAATGATTTTATATCGAATAAAAACAAAAGCAATCGTTATGCTTTTGTCATATCATCTGTCAGCAGGGAATACACTAAATTAAAATCACAATGTGTAAATTTGTTCCAACGGCAACAAGTTATCAAGTATTTATAAAACATGAAAACCAATATACCAAACGCAAAACTCAATTGTTTATATTGAATTTTATTACAAAATACAGCTAATTGGTTTGTTTACTGCTATATCTTTTACCCTTTTGCATCATAATTCATTTAATGATATTAAAGGTCTTTTTAAAATGTTGTGTCTAGTGTTGCAAAATTCTTGATTTTTTATAGATTTTTATCCTCATTTTCAATTCTACCCTATGTTCAGGAAATGTAATAGAGAGATAACAAAAAAGCTATATGACTTCATTGCACTGATTTAGTTTCCCTTAGTCATTGCATTGACTAAGTCTCCCCTAAATGCTTAAATAATGCTTATTTTACAAATTCTGTTAACTTAAGGTGATAAATGATAAATCTATTAAATGTTTGTAGGAAGCTGTGGCTCATTAAATTAGAATCAGAGTATAATATACTTTTGCATTATAAAACTTGTCTAAATCGTCACAGTAAAGATCTTTTGTGAATGAGAGTGCCATAATAAACAGCCGGTGTCTGTAACAGATTGTGTATCATATACTGGTTCCAGAGACAACTACAAGACATAATATATTTTCACTGGGAGTGTATTTTCGTATGATTATTTCTCGTGGCATTGATTTTCCTATTGAACGTGAATGCATTATTGTGTGTCGTTTCATGTTACGTAAGGTAATGAGAAAGCAATAATAGTTGGAGCGTGTTTTATTGAAATCATGCAAAGGTAATTGCCCCAGATGTATTTGATTGTCATTAGAGGTATTGAAATGTACATATTTCTGTCTCTTAATGACTTTAAGGAATGATTGGTATGCTTTCAATGCTTGTTTTCATGATTTCCAAGGATGATAAACATGACTTTCAAAGTCGATTGTCATGAATTTCGAAACTAAATGAAAAATGTTAAGAACAAAAATCATATTTTCATATCTTTATTATTTCCAATAAAAGATAACCTTATATATATATTTAAGACGTATTTTACTCAAATTTTTAATTTGAAAATACTGATAATTGCTAATGTAGAATTAACATCTTTTGAGTACATATACAGACGATTTGTTAAGACTTTATGTAACACAGTATAATTACATAGTGTCATAAAGCCTGACTGTTATTTTAAGAAAGGACTAAATTTACTAGAACAGCAACAGGGAATGAAAATATTCAAACACAAACTTCAAAGCAACATCAGAGGTCAAAATACCTCACCACCTGCCGCAGCTAAGAAATGCTTAGACTGCATTAATTCAAACCCATTTAGTCGTCTCTAACGACCACGCAGTTATTCTGCAATAAATGGTGGCTGCAATTATTTTGGCAACCCCTAAACCATAAGGGACGTATGCATATGTATAAATGGCTATATAAAAAGCTTACTTTTTTAGCTCTTTTGCTAATTTTGTCAGAAGAGCGAAATCAATATACTTGAGATTGATAAATCCCAGAAGTTCAGATCCTCATCAGTATACAATTATCTCTGAATTGCCAAACGGAAATGTAAAACGAATCAAATCGACATTGAAGTCACTTTACTAGACACTGTAACGGCTCTTGACCGGTGCTAACCCTTTCACATTCTGATTTTTAATAAATAAAGTTATTAACAATGTTTTGACAATAAATTGACTGTGTATATGTTGTTTATGAGATAATACGAAAATACGAGGCAATATTGTACGCTAATTTATAGATACTAATAAAAAAATCACGTGACACAATTATCATTATGACAATAGAAATTCAAACACGTATCAAGTCCACAATATATTAAGTACTATATATCAGGATATACTGAATGACATCAATCAACTGATGTATTGCACAGCTGGTTGATAGCGGGGCTGTTTTATTCAATTTATTTTATCTACTAAAATGTGGAGTCATCTGATGAATAGATATTCAATTATCTCTATCATGAGGAACATCATAGTGGTGACACAAATGAATAAAAACACATGTATCCCTAACAGCATTTTATATAGTTAGAAATGGCAGTTGTTACACTTATCAAAAATGAAGTCAAATTCACCATTAAAGCAGTTAAATGTGTATCTAATATGTAAGAAGTATAAAAGGCATTGAGATTAGAATTACTATAAATGCAGGTTTAAGAACTAATATTTGACTGAGCAGTAATTATCGGCTACCGAACACTGGTTTGGAGAGTCGGTGTGTGGGACTGACCGTAGGATTCAATGCTTATTAATTTGTTTGCATCAAAGAGACATATATTTCCTAGATATACACGAAGAACAGCCGCATGCACATGTAGTCAATTTAACGGTTTTATTGGCTTAATTATACGTTTTTTTTTCTGTTATGTGCTTTGTGAAAAAAATATTTAAGAATATGTTTTTAACGTTAACAACAATTAATTTCACTTCAGGAAATGGTTTTATTGAGGACAGTGAGCTGGATGGTTTCTTGAAGGAGTTAGTAACAAGTGTTAACACAACAGACGTCGGACCTGAAGTAAGAGTCATACCAATCTAATATGTTATTTATATGATAGTTAAATTAAATTTTACAAATCATTTGCTGACGGTTGGATGTTCAATGGTCACGTGGTATCGTATAAGGTGGATATAGTGTAAAACTGTTCCTTAGTCTTTCATTTATCAAACAAAGTGTAATTAATGTTAGAAAGACTGTTACCCTTTGCAACATATTTACTTTGTTCGAAGAAAAGGACTCTTTTTTATGAAGTAATTTTTCGATTACACCGATTCATTTTGAGCCCAAACATGTAAGATCAAATATCAATGCAGATAATTTCAATATGACATCCGTCCATGTCCCGTCACTTTACTTGAATTTTATCATCTTCGTTCTTGTAAATAACATGTATTCCTTTAAACAAACAAAAGTACTTTAAAAAATGGCATTAAATATTTGGCATAGAAAATAATGATAAAACATCTGAAACAAGAGACACAATGCACAACATTTTAATGGTATAAGCTTTAAAATCATCCAAATGATGACAAACCACATTTGTCATCATATTTAGAGATCTCATGTTTAATGTCGTAATCTCATATAAACCTTGATGCTTTAGGTATCTATATCTCAAACATCATTCACACAAAAGTCATTCTAAGAGGTTTCCTTTCGAGACATTAATTTCCTCCGATTTGACTTCTTTCGATGTATTGGATTAGATATGTTCAGGATATAATCATTTTATAGGATTAGAGTGTGTAAAAATATGATTGGTGCAGTAATTACTTATAATGAGTGTCTGGCGTCGATAGGTTTAAGAGCTTCTGTTTTAGTAGTTGACATATACTTATTTTAAGCTTTTTTTAGAATTTTGAGTGCACTTGGAGAGGTTTTGATAGATTGACTTATTTTAAAAGTGGTAACCCTCAGATAAAATGTAATTGCATTCAATACACTATGCAGAGAGAGAGATTGTAGTACTTTGTAGTGTGGAAAACAATATAGAAACAAATTAAAACAATATAGTCTTTCCAAAATTCAATTGTTTTAAAAGTCTTTGCAACATGAAACATATGGAATACATAGAATTAAAATGCAAGGAACATCAATAATTGTTTTATGTATATGGTAAGAATCATTACCACTATATAAATACAAATTAATGGACCAAATATCTTAAACTTCTATACTATGCTTTGTAACACAGTCATAAAACTCTTTGCAGGTGATATCTGATTCTGCATTGAAAGATGCAAAGAAACTTGTGCTCAATGCTTTCGACGAGAACAACGACGGCCGTATTGACATTGCCGAGGTTAGTTATTCTTTCGACGAAAGAAATGACCCCAAAGGTCTAAAAATATATAATTTGAAATTCCTAAATAAATCATAGATCAACTGGTTCACTAAAAATGGGAAAAAATGAAGAGATAATAAAAATATTCCTAGAATTAAATGATTTCAATTAATTCATTTTTGTGCGCTTTAAAAGCCGTGCAACTATTTTCATTTTCGAGTCACTTTGCGTCTTGAAAAAGATTATTCAGGAAAAACAATTTGAAACTTTGTATAATATAATTTATTGGCCTAGATCCTTATCAAGTGTTAAACAAAGTTTGAAAAAAATATTTCAAACCCTCCCATGTCATATCACCTTAGTGGAGTCCTTTGAACGAGTTACATGTAATTGTAAGACGGAAATGACGTAATGTTACATTATTACCACATATAGGCATCATTAAGTATGTGTTATTTTCGTTTTTGTATATTAACTATAAAGATTTATTGGAAAACAATGAATGTATGTTCTGAACTGTTAACTTTTGCGAATATAATGATAATGAAATAAAAATCAATAAACATTAAAATGTTCTATTACAGCTTGCTCAGATACTTCCAATGGAACAAAATTTCCTTTTGTTGTTCAGAAGAGATCATCCATTAGATTCGAGTGTCGAGTTTATGAAGGTAAACCTAGGGGTTCCACAATTAAATGGCGTCATGTTTGCTTCTGAATCAAACATTTTTATTGCATAAAAGTGTATGATCAATAGGTTTTGTTGTTTATAATTGTTATTAAATTTTGCTAGTTATATCAGATAAAATAAAAGTTATGTTAAAGGCATATTATGCATCAGAAAAAGTAAATAGTTCTTGCTATAGAAAGGGCAATCATGAGTTTATATTGTTGCAATAATGGTTAAAGAGCTAGATATATCTTGCCTGAAAAAAGTAAAGCGTATATATCATAAATGTAGCGAGGTGAAAACAAAGTAGTATTTTTGTTTTCCATCGAAATACTAAACCACTATAAATGTGCTCATTGCTAAAAATCGGTAGAAGCAAAAGATAGTTCAGAAAAATTTGCCAATGATTAACTTTTTTGAAACCTTATTAAGACATAAAATGTTTATGACTATTGCCATTATTCCAAAGTGTGTGTTTATAATATTTACAGATTTGGCGGGAATATGATAGCGATCACAGTGGATATATCGAGGCAGACGAACTTAAGGTAAAGTGTCACTTTTACAGATATTTGTGCTGTTGAAACTTTGATACAACTCTTTTCAAGGAAACACAAACTTTCAGAACTCGGTTTATATCTCCATTTAACATTACTTTTATCAAAGCATTATATTGCATTTTGTTATCATTTCGAAGGAACATTTGTAAATATTTTGAATATTCCGTGTAAGTATGTAAAGTTTTGAAACTTAAACTTATAGGTCTGTTATACTTTACCAGCGTATGTTAAATATTCTTTGTCTAAACATGTTTCGTTTTAACAATAACTTTCTCGTTTCATACAAACAATTTAAACACAGACATAACTTAATTGTTTGTTTTTAATAGACTAACATCTAAGCTTTGTGATAACTCTCATATCAGAACACTTATCTAGACGACACATAAAGAAATTTAAGAAAAAAAAATAAAGCATTTGTTATGCCTTTAGCGTAACGAATAAAATAGTTTATGCAACAGTTTCGGTATAGATTTAAACATTTATTTTAGTCAAAAGTAAATTAAGAAAAAGGTACGAAAAGACAAGTATTTGTTCATATAAAGAAATTTTGAATAAACACAATGCCCCAATAAATGTTCATTTAACGGATGTGTTTTTACAATTAAGTTAATTATATTTCAGAATTTCCTACATGATCTTCTTAAGCGATCAAAGAAAGACACGGAAGTATCCGAGGAACAGCTTATCGTCTATGCTGACACAATGGTATGTTAGAGTTTATGTTATATAACTGGTATTATTATTCCCCGTGTTACGATGATTGACGGTCATTGAAGGGAATATTAACCTGGTGATATTGTTCAGAACAAACTTTGCCATAACGCAATGGAAGGCGACGCTTAATTTAAACGTTTATTATTTAACTTAGAAAACAATTGTAAATGGCTTTACATACTATGTACTAGCCGACAACTCAAAAACAATGTTACGAAATCCATTGTGCTAACATAACTTTATGCAAACTAAAACATAGGATCATTATTTAAAAAGGAGGTATTTCTTATATCACCCAAGGACACATAACTGTAACATAAGCCCGTATGTAATTTTTCAATAAAGTAAAATAAATAACATATAGCTGTCGGGGTGACATGGATATTGCTTATCGTTGAATCTTGCATATTACCAGGAGTTGCACCAGTTCTGGGAGGTTACAATATCCATTTTCACCTTGCCAGCTGTGTATTATTCATTTAATACCACTTGATCATAAAACTATTGTATTTTTAACTTTGTGCATGAAATATCACTTTTAAAGATCGATCTGCAGCTAAACAGAAGCATAAAATAAATTGAATGTCAACATGAATAACCCATAACTATTTCATTACCAATTTTATCGAGTTATTTGAAATAATCGATGTCAAGAAACTTCATGTTGTTATTATATTCATTTGCATTTTGTCCTTGTTATTTACAGTTGCAGCTATTCGACAGGAATCGAGACGGAAAACTTCAACTAAGTGAAATGGCAAAGTAAGTGATGAAATAGAAAACTATTGATTAAAACATTAAAATGTTATGCAAAAACAGAAATAATCTTCTCATCGGCTATGTATGCATATTAAAAGCACATTATGCCTCCGGAATAATTTTTATTTTCATTCTTTAGGAAGGGCAAACAAATGTTTCATAGCGTTTAAATAATGGTTTATGAGCATTTTAGATGCTTATCACCTGAGGAAAAAGCGCTAAATGTGAAATTAATTGTCATAAAAGTAACAAAATGTAAACAAAGTAATAGTGTGTCTTCCATACACAATACTAGATATTAAGTATAACATTACTAATTGTCAAAATGTTACATAATAAATAAAAATGGTTCAGGTAAAGGGCCAATGAGTTCCTTTCGCAGACATCAAATTAAAAGGCTTTTATATGATGAAAATAAAAAAAACATTTCACCTTTAAGAAAACAGCAAAATTAGTAAAGAACCTTTTAAGAAATGCATGTGTTAAGTAAACACAGCGTTGTTTTGTGTATCGTTCCCGCAATTTGTTTGTATACTATAACTTCGTTCTATTCTATGCATTTGTTTTTGCATAAAATGATAAGAGTAGGATCGACAATTTAGGTAACTTGAATTCGGAATTATATTTATCAAAACTTTCTTGGACCCTTAACCTACAGGATCCAAAAATGAATAGCCTTTGACCAGATCAGTCTGTAGATTCCTGCAGTCTTTCTAGGCTCTATACTGTTTATGGCCCAGCTGTTGTATTTCGATATTAAAATTCTTCAAACTTCAAATGTGCTGTTCTAAAGTAAAGGCAGGGCAAATACATTACACAAGTTCAGCAGGTATATGGCTGATTAATTGTTATCTCATTCCCATTGTTGTTATTGTTAAAAACCACTTATAACAAATAAAATGTCATGTTAAAATCCGTTGCAAATATATCTATATGTACAACTGATATACATTTAATGAGCCGCGCTATGACAAAACCAACATAATGGGTTTGCGACCAGCATGGATCCAAACCAGTCTGCGCGGATGATCAGGATCCATGCTGTTCGCTATCAGTTTCTCTATTTGTTATAGGGTTTGTAAGCGAACAGTATGGATCCAGCGCGGCTCATTATCAATGCCATATTAATTAGCTTAGATTTGATTTGTTTCTCCATATTACAGATTGCTCCCAGTGAAGGAGAATTTCCTGTGTCGACCCATTTTCAAGGTTGGTTCGGTAAAAATAGCTTTCATAATCCCTCTTCATCTCTGCGTGTACGGTATAGTAGAAAACCTTTTAACTTTCCGCATTCTCGTCACACGCAAATAGATATGTAGCATTTACTTTTGTGTTTAATCCATTGTAAAATCTAACAGAACCACTCCTTAGAAAATATTTGTGACACATGATCATCAATGAATCATTTCTTCCTCATTGTCGCTTCAAGTGTTTCATTTTCTATTGAAAAATTTCAATCAATCTTACATAAAATGGACGTAAAAGAATCATTTTAACAAAGGTGTGTAAAACTAACTTGAAAACAACTTAATCAATTGAAATTAATTACATTTAGCACACAACTATTGTTATGATTCATATTCCAGCTTAACGTTGCATTTATTTGATTTAAATATCATCTGTCCTTTTCAACTTGTGTTATCGTAGAATAGTGTATTTGCTTTTGTGACCAATTCAACTATTTTAAAAAATACAACAAAAAGTTCCATGAAAAGTCCTTCAAGTTTCCTTTTAAGATCCCTCCTGCAGCTTATCAAACAAATTTTATCCTTAAATGTCCTATATCGTATTTTTACGCTGCTTTTAATTATACACAGTCGCTTCATTTTATGATTTTCCTCTCGACATTCCGTTCCAAATGTCTGTCTGTTATCAACGCCTTTGATGTGTATAGCTCGTGTAGCTTTTGTCATAATATTGCAATATATGTGTGACCTGAAATAAATTGTTAATATTTTTTTCTTTTGACAAATCATTTGTAAACAGCTGTTTATTCTATTTTAATTTATTCAATCTAATACGTAAGAGGTAAAATGACGTCCACGAAGAACGCACAACACGGCTCAATAAAACATTTTAGCACATAAAATGTAAAGGAACTCATCTGAAGTTCACATGCCTTAAAAACATTAACCATGAATTTCTATTATAGTTCAGCTTAAGCACTTTAAGCGTAAAGATATGCAAAAGAAAATAAAGAAATATACTAAGAATACGTTAGAAAATTTGTGTTTTTGCTATAATCTAAAGGCATTTAATCGCTTTCAATTTTTTAGCCATTTTTACAATTAAAATAATGATTCTCGAAAGACGGAGTGTGCAAATGATCTGATTATTTGCAACATTTCTGGTCCTGATCTTCATCAAACAGAACGTAAATCTCGTAAAAACATTTACATTCCTGCAAGCCATAGTGGTGTTTCTTTAAACAATTTAATACACATGAAATAATTAAGTTTAGTATAGAAACAAAGTGTCAAAATAACCGATACAACATAATTAAACCATTCATTTACTTAATAAAAATGTAAAGCATATACATGTAGTTAGCATTTTATCTATTCAGACAAAGAAAATGGATTTCTTGGCGGTAAGTATATATGTTTGACATCATGACAAACAGTAAAAAGCCAAAGGTTATTTGCATTATGCTGGGTTCCTGGTATTATGTATATATATTATAGCAGGTTTATATTGCTTAATTAATGAATTCAATGCTCATGTCACATAAAAAAACTGTATCTTAAGATTCAAGTTTCATAAACTATAAGTTATGTGGATATACTTGGATGATTTAAGTATGTGTAATAATTTACATTTTAGTTTGAATTGTTTGTGAACAAGAGTTTTAGGTACATTATTCTGTGACATTATAATAATATAATACGAGGTCTTATTCATCTGCTTTATACATTTAAACAATTTTAACATGTAAATCATTAGCATACCAAACTTCATGAGGCACACATAGCATACATTCAATACCTCTATATTAATTACACTCCATTTCTTGTACATTTTTAATTGATATTAAAGTGACAGCAAACTCATACTTTCTAAGCATTATGCATTAAAAGGGATTTTCAAAAATAGCGTACGTAACAAATGCCACATTTTATGTTAATTATGACTACCAACCCCGCTTTGGTTACATATACATATTGTTTTATTTGTTGGCTTTGCGTTCTATATATACCATCAGTATATCTTAACCTTTTTAGTTGTTTACCCTTGGGAGACGGTCCTTTTTCAAATTAAATATAAAAACAGATTATAGTGTTACTATTTATTTTAAATATACACATATTAGAAATAACTTACTATAACCACATAATCTTGATAAACTATGATTCTCGCCTGTCATTTTTTCAATATAAATCACATTGTAGTTTCATAATTATTCAATAATGTTCACAATAATACACTATATATTAAATCTAAATCTGAAATGGAATAAGCTCAATATGTGTGCTAAGATGTGTTTCTTTAGAAAATGAACATCGGCTTTTTAATCTATCCTTTAACAAAAGTATGCCTCCAGTATGGAGCCAAACCATGCAGTCTGACCGACCAGGCTCTTTACTGTTGGTTGATCAAATCTTTGTTTGGATATTGAAATCCCTCAAACTGCGAATAGTTAACTGTGAATTCAAATATAAATTCATTACACACATTAAGCAATTTAAGGACTTAGAAAGTTTGTGAACATTTTATGTGTTTGCTTCAGGGTTGTAGCAGGTTATCGCCAGATGACATAGATAGGGTTTTCAATCTGTATGACGTGGTAAGAATTGTTATATTTTCGCAATGTGTTGCTTCAGGTTTACTAATGTACATATTTGTTCCATAAAACATTTTCAGTGTCATTTGATTCTGCAAACTGTGCAAAATGATTATTTATTTTTATTTATTACATTGTATACCAAGTATAAAATTAAAAGACATATTAGACCATGTATATTCGAGATAAAAAAAAATAGTTCATTGTTGGAATCTAAAAGCAATTTATTAAGTTATTAAACCTATTATCATTGAATTGTTATAGGATAGAAATGGTTATATAGAAAACGAAGAGCTGCATGGGTTTCTGAAAGACCTAATGGAACTCGTTGAAGACGTAAGTGTAATAGCTATGTTTATTTTTGATTTCCTAGAAAATATTTCTGATTTGACCCTTTTGTGCTCGTTTAAGTTTATGACATTATGATAACTTAAATACAGGAATGATGAATAGATGGGTACACAAAAGTTACATACATTAACAGTTTACTGGCGATAAATTTCTTGAGTTAAATAAGGCATGAACAAAACCATGAATAAGTGCATAAATATTAATGGGTGGTCTTATGCAAATGGTTTATGTCATATACAAAAGTATTAATATTTCACAGTGTAATTAATATAAAGTTTGATATCGTATTGCAAAATATTACTGAGGTAAAAAGATGATTAAGTATATGACAACCGTTTCCTACGTTTGCAGGATTACGATGCCGACGATCTGTTAGACTGTCAGAAGATTCTGTTAGACAAATGTGACCTCAATCAGGATGGAAAAATTAACAAAGAAGAGCTCACAATGGTGTTAACATCTTGCAACAAGGCAAACTCAAGTGATTGACTCTAAACTTCCATAAACATTTTTGTGAAATACTTTTTACATACCAAATGATCAAATAACTGGCTTTATATCAAAGTATTGCGGTGTTACACTTATTTATATTTTCTCTAATATATATATGTTAATTTTTTGTTTGTGTTTATACATTACATATTTTATTTGTGTACAAATTATGTAAAGACATTAAAGAATGTTCAGAAAACTTATTTGTTCTAAAATCATTATTATTATGATTATAATGTGCAAACATAAACCAAACAAACTACTGTTCTTGTGTTTGTTCCTCAAACTTTATATCTCTTATTTTAACTGTTCATTGAAACCTTTAATTTAACATGAAAGAAATAATTCTGTTAATGGTAAAAGTACGTTTACTTACGTGCTCTTTAAATATCTTAGAATAATAGACTTAAAAAAAGTTGTTTTATGTATACACATATATTTTCAATTGTTTGTACGTTATTTTGATGTGTTTCAAGACACCGGTTAAAGTGCATATAGTGTTCTTTGCTCATCTAGTACATTGTTACATAGTCAGCATTATCTATGTAAAACAAACTTACCTGCAAACATTTTGTGTCTTTTAATTGTATATAGCTAACTATGTAAAGCTTTTTGATAATAAACTTTGTACATAAAAGGTTATGATAAAAAAAACTTTGCTTTATGTTGTTATTTTTTTAAACTAGTAGTAAATTTGTTCATTTGTATTAAGTTTTGTATATTTTTTAGCTTTTATGAAAATTTATGTCGCTACATGGCAACTGCTCGTTAGAACAGGGTGCAAACTGGGGGCAAATTGCATATATTAAACTTTAACTTTTAACCTGTTGGCGGCAACTGATAAACTACCAATGCGACCAGTGCAGACCAAGCCTTCTTGTCATTGTTTGTACTGTTTACAGTCCCTAAATTTTTTTAATTTTCCCGTATAGCACCATGCCTCCAGATTCATGCTAATTTTCATGAAAATTTTGATAATGTTTTTATAAGTGATATATTGTGAAGTTACAAAAAGAAGCAATTTATATATTACAAACAACACTCATACACATGTAAATTACCAAAATGAGGTCAAAATATTCGGAAATAGCTTTTACTGCGTTAGTAAAGCAGTAGAAATATGCTTATAAATACTGAAAAATCTATCATTAATCGCATAAAACATTTACATTATTACTAAAAATTTTAATCTTTTTACTTTTCCTAACGTTTTAGTACATTTTTTCTCAGGTTTGATTTATTGAAATATTTTTTTCTCATCTGGAGGCATGCATCTTTAATGATGACAATTTTGTTCAATTAAAGATATACAAGTCCATAAATAATATTTAGCACTTTGTTTTCAACAGGATTCAAAATAAATTCAAAATTTGAGATTATGTATATTCGCTCAAAGAAATTTAGGTATGCATGTCATTAAAATGTTTTACATAATTTTATATTACAACATAAATTTTTGCCTTTTATGGAGAATGGTTTGTTTTTTAATAATTTAAATATTTGCTCTTGGTTTTTTGAGAAAGTGGTATTTTTTTAACTCTTTGAAACATTTGCTTGTTTTGTAATGTTTTTAAATTGGCATAGAATTTTATTGAAACATTGCTTTGTGACAGTAGACGATAACTTAAAAGAAAATATTATTCATTTTAACTTTGGAAATTCCAAAATGCAATAGGAAAACCTTTAATAAATATGGAAATCACTATGTTTGAAAGTAGGTATATTCTTTCAAATAATTTGTTGTGTTATATTATATTGAATGTGTAACTATATGTTTGACAACTTTATTACTTTAATAAAACAAAGTTATTTCATTTTTACGATCTCAATCAAATACCTATCATCAAAATATCATAAATAATTTCAAATCAGTTTTATAAACAAATTGTATTGATAGAAAGAAATTGTGAAAGACCGAAACATGTGTCTACAGCTTACATTTTTCTATGGTTAAGCGATGTTTTTTTGTGTTTTGTGTGTGGTTTTTTTTAATAATTAGCTATTTTTTCCACTATGTTAATATATATTTCTTAACAAGTTTTATATTTAAGGGTTAAAGGTGTGGATAGCATGATTAGCATGTAATTATTGATGAAATCAAAATAAATTCTTAATGTTTAACTGACTTTGTTTTATTTTATCTAATTGTTTTATCATAACATAACATAACAGAACAGAACAGACCATATTCTTCTTTCTCGCAGGTACACAAGGAAAATAAAATAAAAAAACAGATTCGTACAGTTTGACAAAGTAAAGGTGTATAATTAATATATCGGGGATAACCACCTTTACCAAATCGAAAACGGAAGAAAAAAAGGACACATTTTATCCTAACCTAACATATTTACGCCAATTACGATGTAATATGGATGCGCGAATGAGGTAAAAGAGACACGACTGTGCGGATTAACATTGGTTTAAAGCTAATGTGGAAACATTTATTCTATTCGAAATATGTTATTTGTTGTTTCTTTAAACTGATATGCATTCCTCCATTGTTTCTAATATACAATTCGAAAGAATACACCACTACATTGTTCGTTATAGTTCTTACTTGATTCAAGGTTTGTTTATAATTGTTATTATCGATCTTAAATGTAGATTATAAATTATCTTTTTTATAACTATTTTCGTTTTAAATCCTATCAATGTATTGCAGTAACGTAACTATGGAAATCTATTATATCTGATTTAAAATATATTCCTCTGCTGAAAGCTTAATGCACATCTATAACGGACATTATTATTCATGCAAATGCTTAATCCAATACAATACAAACTATGACATTTTCTGCTGTCATATTTTTTATTTTGTTTGCTTTAAATTCAAGAATATTCAAAGATGTCAGCACAAATCTCATAAACTGCAGGAAACTGATCTGATTTGCTTATAATAAATATATGCATCGATTATTCCTTATTTGCATTTTGCAAATTAAACTGTTGTCAAAATTTTTGTCTATCTTATATTCATGATATGGCATGATTAGTTTAGTTTTGCCAACGTATGAACACAAATATGGATGTTTCTAGATTTAAATTGTCACCATTTTTATTTCTATATGTTGAATTTTGCTTCAGTCGGTGATAGGGAGCGTGCACAATAGCTTATAGTTACCACTATTGTATATGAACAGACCCCAGGCTCAGATAAATGACACTTTTTCTTGTTCCATTCAATGTATAGAAAAGTCAAATGTTCTTAATCCTACAACCACTACTAGATCTTTTAATCTAGACAAATCCATTCATCATTCTTGAGGAAAATATTAAAATTATGTACTGCCTATATCGCAGATAATGATCAGATGGCGTCCATGTGCCAGCTGATCTTGGTCGGCAATAACCGCATAGCTAATTCAATTGCCGCTAAGTGTGCTAAGGGTTTCAGTCTGGGATCCCACCGAAAATCATATTACGAGAATTTGTTAGGTTGAAAGGCACTACATTTATTTGCTGGCTAAGAAGTCTTTTTTTTCAATTACTTTTACGAACAGTTCTACAAATGTAGTGACATTTATTTCTTTAATTAAACAAAACTGGTAAAGCATAATATCGTATTAAAACACAAACGAATAAACGAATTAAATTGACATTTCCTTGGCACCCTGAAATTGTTCGTGAAATATATACAATACCATACCTATTGTAGATTAAAATACCTAGATATGTAGCTATATAGGTTCAAAATGGCCGTTGTCATTTTTGTGGTTATGCAAAGGAAAGAAATCTAATTTACCAAAGTGTGTAATTTACTGCTAGCGTTATATGAGATACACTATATTATTCACTTATTATTCTCTCAACTCTAAAGTCAATACTTTAAGTTGACTTATTAGGTAGAAACTGTGAATAGACATCGTAGAGTACCAGTTATGTCAATAGTCAATTTTCTTCTCCCACCTGGCGCATCTCTATATTGGCTGTGTACGTTCCAATATTTACAGCATGGTTTATTTCTGTAAGGTTAGTATACAAGATAGCAAGTAATAATTGCAAGTGGTTTATGCGTGCATAAAATACATATCTATTTTTCGAAAACTGGAACATGTGCATGAAAATGATTATATTTTAACAAATAGACAAACAAAATATATTAGAATAGGAAAAGCCTTACGGTATAATGACAGACAAACAGCATATGATTGAACACCGCAGACAGTGTATAAAATGTAATAATGGAAAAAATCCTTCATGCTCTCTAGCACCGCCTTATCGTGTATATTTAAAGCATCGCAGTAAATACCTGAATCGGGACCAGAAAAAAAAACGAACAACCCTGAAATGAAGTAGAGTCAAACTTGATATTTAAAAGAAGGGGGGGATCATACTTTACATTATTTTTTCTCAAACTTAAAATAATGAAATGGCATGTGTTATACATGTATATCTAAATCAATGCATGTGTCAAATGAGAAAAACATTTTCCATAATCAAAAAATAAGGTAATTTTTATAACGATTATGTCAAGATTTTTTCTTTGAAAATGACATTAAATAGTTATGTATTTGAATACACATTGGTATAAATATTGTTACAGTAAAGTGCACACCTACCATCATAACAATAAGTACAATCTCTAACATTGGTTACTTCGTTTGTAGGCGAGAGGTTGCGAGTTTGAACCCCAGCCACGGCGGATTATTTAAAAAAAAATATTTGGCATATGCATCTTTCTGTTACGGTTAAAAGATATACGTTAGAACATTAAAGAGCTTGAAAAGCACAAATGCACTTACGTGACATTTTAAGACATTTAGCCTGTTATATTACACCAGGTTTAATAATTCATAATTAATAATACATTATTCACCGTCTTGCCAGGGTAGATACAAATACGAGACCATTAGCTGAAAATCAAAGCGTATGACTTGAAACTTCATCTAGTGGTTTAAAGTAATGAGCTATCGTTATTAATTTAATATTTAATATTGTTATTAATTTCCCGTATCTGATAACAAGAACAAAAATATTGATCTGTACATATTACATTAGAAGATATCTCTTGGAATCTGTTATATCTTCTGATAGTGAACGCTATGGTGCTTCTAGCAGTTTACATTGTAATATCATTTTAATCTATTAAGGATGAAATTAACGAGACTCTTAGTAAGCCTTAAGGGAATAAATACGCTCTTGTCATTTTGTTCATGTAAAGTCATCATATCATATGTTCGTATGCCCGTTTTACAAAATAATTGTTGTTTTTTGTTTTGTTTTTTTTTATTTTGTTTCATTTTTATTTTTTCTGGGAGGGGTGGTTGTTGTTTTTCGGGGGTTTTCATTATTTATAAGGGCTTGTTTGTTGTTGTTGTTGTTGTTGATTTGTTGTCGTTGTTATTATTATTGTTGTTGTTGTTGTTGTGGTGGTGGTGGTTGTTTTGGGTGTGTGTGTCTGTTTTTCAACTATAACTATATCAAGATCACACCCTCTTGCAATGATTTGCCTACAGATGTACATGTAAAATATGTGTCCGTGGCCGAGTGGTTAAGGTCGTTGACTTAAAACTTCTTGCCCCTCACCGCTGTGGGTTCGAATCCCGACAGGGATTTTGGATTCTTTCATGTGAGGAAACCATCCCGCTAGCTTACTTCGGGGTTCTTCTCAGGTGCCCATCCGTGCCTGAAATAATGCCAGGAAGGGCACGTGGGGTCTTCCTCCACCATAGAAGCTGATATGGCCAATACTGGGTCGGTGTGAGGTAAAAACCAAAGTTTTTTTTGTTTTGATTTTTGTTTTATCAATGCTATTTTGTAATGCCTTTTTAGACCTTACTCAATTTAGAGCATTTTTTTCATGAATCAGTTAAAGTATGTCGGGTCGATTTTACAGTATATTCTCACGCTTCAAATGAACAATAACATCGCTTGCTTTTTGTTAATTCCCCTCCTATAAATCAACAATCTGTATACTAATTTGATTGATACTCACGTTGGTGATTTGGCGAAGAGATTACAAGTATAGCTCGAGGGCAAACAAGATTGTTTTAGGAAGCGTATTGATATAAATAACTGATCACATTTCGGAGAATATAGTCCGCTTTGTCATGTTCTAACATGTGAAAGTATATTCGTTTTACATGTTATATATATAATTACGGAAATAATCTTCCCGCAGAGGAGATAAATTAAATATCTCTCAACAACTCAAATTGCAACCAAATGCTACAAAAGACATTATATTGTGCAAAGACGGAACCATGATATACGGAATGCCGTTAGGGCCATCGCCTATGAATGTGTTGATCCAAAACGCGATAGTCGATAGCACGATGGTGAAAACGCGAAATCACGAAACTACGATGGTGAAAACGCGAAAGCACGATGATGAAAACGCGATAGTACGATGATGAAATCGCGACAGTACGATGATGAAAACGCGATAGTACGATGGTGAATATGCGATAGTACGATGGTGAAAACGCGATAGTACGATGATGAAAACACGACAGTACGATGATGAAAACGCGAAATCACGAAACGACGATGGTGAAAACGCGACAGTACGATGGTGAAAACACGATAGTTTATCGCGCTTTCATCATCGTAGTATCGTACTGTCGCGTTTTCATAGTCGTACTTTCGCGTTTTCATCATCGTGCTTTCGCATTTTCACCATCGTAGTTTCGTGATTTCGCGTTTTCACCATCGTACTATCGACTATCGCGTTTCAGATCAACACATTCATAGGCAATGGCCCTAACGGCATTCCGTAATGATATGGTGTGATAATTTCGTTTTATTTCTAATAATATTAAACTAAACGAAAGAGATTGTGAAGAGTATGGCGGTGTCTATTTATAAAGTACGCTATCAATCATTATGGAAAACAAGTTATAAATAACAATTATATAACCTCTGCATAACGTCAGCATGGTTTACAACAACAGTATCAGTTCTTCCCAAAGTACGTCTTCACAATAATTTTAACCGTTCTCAAGCAACACCTCTCAGCAACAGCCAAGATATTTGTCTCCAGAGTAGTGTGGCTCTGAAAAGGTTGTGTTGAATATTCTATGACAAAGAATGTATGGTCTTGACCTATTGAATTATTGAAGAAGGTGTGAGATAACGTTTTCGTCTTCGTAATCAATGATTTGTTGTTAATCAATGTGTGT